AATTATGACATGAGAATTGAATATGTTTTCGCATTTAGTATATCGAATTTTTCGTATTGGCTGTAGGATAAGAAAGGATTTTGCTTTTTGAATGATGTGTGAATTTATATTTTGTTCGAATGTCAGCATAATTTGCACAGAAGTTGAAGAGTAAAGTGAAAATTTTTCATCATGAAAATGCATTTTCTGCCGATAGAAAACTGCGATAAAATATACTTTTGATTATGATATAATGGAATTAATCCGGAATAAATTTTTCACAATCATTTGATCGAGATCATTTTGCAAACAATCTACATTGACGATTTAAATGACATTTGCATTTCACTTTGACTGTATTTAAAAGATACTGAAATTTCCAAAATATATTTTGAAGTCAAAATATTCATTCTATATAATAATTTGAAATATTTCTTTTGAGTGACAGATTAATTGAGCGCAATTCACATCAATGCACAGTAACTTAATTGCCAACATTCATTTTGGAGAGAAATCCGAACTAATTCGAATAAAAAATGCAATTATTGTATGTTTTCATTGACCTTATCACCGTTGAAACTTTAAATTCTCATTTTCTTGCCAAACTACATAATCTCAGCAAATTTGAAGAAATTTCAATGCATATTGAGGGTACTTCTCATACAAAATTTCGTTTTAGAGCGAAAAATCCAAAATTTTGTTCGGGAGGTGCCCCTAATATTCGTTGAAATGTTTTCAAACTTTCGGAATGGTATTTATGTGTGATAAAACTAACCTGTGCAAAGTTTCAGCTCATTACGATATCATACAGGCATGGCTTCCATAAAAAAATCCAAATTTTTTGATTTTTTTGTATGAAAAGTGTGTCGAAAATGAATTGTATCGCAAAAATAACGTCATATTCGGTTTTCTCGTACCCAAAAACCCCCCAATACACATTTTTGAGTGTTTAAGAATACATTAAATATCACTTTTGGAAGAAAAAATTGCATTTTTCCCATGGATGGACATAGACATGACACTTTACCCTGTCAACCAAAGTCGCTCAAAATCTAATGGTTTCTATTCCTCGGCACCCCCAATCATCCTGTGAAGTCAGATTTTGAATTACTTTTCTTGTTTGAAAGTTATCGTGTTAACAAATTTTTGCGTACAGGGTACAGCGTACAGGGTACAGAGTACAGGGTACAGGGTACGCACATACATTCGGACATCGTAAAAACGCTAGATTCGTGTTCCCTGGCCTCAAAAACACCCAGAAAACACATTTTTTATGGGTGTTAATTTTTCGACCGATTCCAATACTTTACCTTACACACTAGGTGTGTGCGGAAAAGTAATACTCGTACATTATCACTTTTTTATATTCCAATCGGGAGGGACGATTGAATAATGGGGGAACCAATTAATTATATGCTTATTACATTCAATGATTGTTATAAAAAAAAAACAATTTTTGTCTCTTTCAAAACTGGTTGGTATGAGAATTTAATCAAATTACTTCAAACGGACTGTTGGATCGGGGAAATGTTATTCGATGCAACTATTATCATAATCTCAGTTTTTTTTTTCATGGCACGACACGCGCTCACTATAAAATATTATCAAAAACAAAGTGCAATGACTTTTGTCCAAACTCTTTAAATTGTTTTATGAAATACAAAAATGAGTAGAAACTCGCACCAGAAATTATCAAAAACAAAGTGCAATGACTTTTGTCCAAACTCTTTAAATTGTTTTATGAAATACAAAAATGAGTAGAAACTCGCACCCGAAATTATCAAAAACAGAGTGCAATGACTTTTGTCAAAGCACTCTGAATTGTTTTATGAGATACTGAAATGAACAACAACTTACACCCGAAATAATCGGAAACAAAGTGCAATGACTTTTGTCACAGCACTTTAAATTGTTTCATAACGAAGAAACAAAAACGCGTAACAGAACGATTGGAAATGCGCGAAAGAATTCTAAAAGGGAAACAGGGTGCAATGACTTCCGTCAAAACAATTTAGATTGCACATAGAACAAAATAATTGAAACACACATCAAAATTATCAGCAGCAAGTACACTAACCTTTTCTAATTCAATGTTATAATAATAATAACTGCACCGAACAGCGTTCCTTCGCCTTGTTTCATTTCAATTTCCTGTTGACCTCCGACACAATGAGATATTGTAAACTCTTAAAATATACTTTGTCCGACTGCAATAATTTGGGCTTGGTATTTAACGATGTGAATATATATATTGTATTAATAATTCAAATTACGATTGGCGTTCAGGTGGGTGAGCAACGTCGTGAATTTGACTGACCATTTGATTCAAAAGAAAATAAATTTGATTCGGGGAAAAATACATTAAAATCAAAAGAAAATAAATTTGTTCACTCAGGGTAACGATGCTTTCAATATTAACGAAATATGGACATTCGTTGAATAAACGTTCGATCAATGAGTGCCAAATTTTAAGCCGAAAACATTTCATTCAATTGAAAATTATTGGCAATAAGCGGAATTCGCTGAAGGAAGTGGGGAATGAGCGTAGTTAATTTGTTCAGTTTTTCTTTCCTTTGAACAATTTTATGATTATCATAAAGTTTTGGCCATTGATTAGCCAAACATTGTTCGAAAAAAAAAGGTTTATCATAACTGAGAGAATTGTTCGATTTCGTTGGAGATTTCTTTTATTCCAACATTATCCAACATCCATTGTGTGGGGGGCATGGAATCACATAAAATGTGATTTTTTATCATCAAATTGATATATCGCGCAAATCAATTGAATTGAAATTCGAAATTTAACTTAATTGGATGGAAATACGGAATATTCTGTTTATTTCAGGGAGAACAAAAAACATAAATAACCAATGCTTATTGTAATTATTGGAAAGCTGATCACAATTAAGTAAATGTTTGATTTTGAAGAAGGAACTTTGACGAGAATATCCACTCCTTGTTTTGATTACGATGTCGGGGTTTGAAGAAAAATGATCTCGACGGATCTGAGTGTTTGATTTGTTTAACTTTTACGTTCATAATTATCTATGTTTTTTGTAGATTGAGGAAATAATATTCGTCACTCTTTTGCATTTAAAACACAATCAACTCAAAATGAATCTTTTCAATTCACAATTTACAAACCGTTTTAACCCAAAAAAGAAAAAAAAAGGAACTAACTATTCGCACATCACATTCACATTGAGAAATATTTTGATTGGATTGAACAAATAAATTGACATCTATGAGTTGCGATATCTCCTTTTCTTTTATTATTCTAAGAAGATGAAAACGATACACATAACCGTGAAAACATTTATTGGAATTTGAACTATAGCAAAGAGAGACTATTGAATTTCCTATATATCTCACGTATGTAAGAGAGTACTGATTCTTGAGTAAATTTGAAACGCACTTGCTATTTTTATTTTTTACGTACCTGGAGTAAGTAACGATTTCCAACTTTTAAAAAATGGTGTTCCGCAGCGATCGATTTTTTTTTTTCTCTCTCCTCTTTTTTAATGTGTACGTCGGAAGAATGGGCAATCCACTGAAAAAGTATGCTAACGATAATAAAAACCGATACAAATCACACAAGAATATATATATATGTGTAAAATGAAAAAGTATATTAGAATAAATACAAAAAATATGAAAACAAATCGTCTATCAGATAAACGGAAAATGGCAAACAAAATGTAACCATTCGTTTGGATTTGAAAAATTGAAATCCGTTTTAGGAAGTAAAAATCGGTCGTATACGTACATACCTTAAATTGGTACATGAATCTATTTCACACAAGCAATTATATCGTTTTAATGAAATAATTTAAATACGGTATTGTGAGTGAGATTATTTACAGCTCCGATGCACTATCGTTTGGCATTCACATATTCGGCTCTGTGTTTTGTACATGAAATTATGAAAAGTTAGCCGAACCAAAACTGTGGTAACGTCTAAAAGAGCAGTACACTCACGGGAATAATGTGCGAATTCAAACTATACCCTTTTATTGGTTGTTTTGGGTAAATTTTCTTTACCACTGATTCATTCATTTTCCTTAATTATGCATAATTCAAGATTTGTTCGTGTGTCGTAATCACTGAACAACTTCGGGGCTACTCACTTTCGTTTTGAACATATAAACTCTTGGTAATACATAAACAATTAAATCGCACTCAAATTTGTCGAATTATTTTAAATTTCACCAGAAATTCTTGTCAGCCCAATTGGACATTTCATGCACGTCACACGATTGAAAATAGCACGAAATCGCCTTTTCATTATTCATGGTACCAATGTAATAATGACGAAGCGGGAGGTTTCAGATCGAATGGGTTTATCTGTGCGAACAAACAAACAAATGAAAAAAAAAAAAAAAAAAAAAAACGTCATTTCAATATGGAAGAAATAACGATATAGAGAGCTGCGATTTGCATCCATTTCGATTATAATTGCAGTGTAGAATGGATGTTTGCGCACGTTTAGAATGGTTAAATGATGTCAACTGTTGCGTTATCATAACTTCTTTTGTCGGCGCGGCTTACAATTTATAACGCTTGGTTAACATTGTTTTCTTTGAAGTCTCTTTCATGACTACAACCCAATGCCAATTTTCACCATGAAAAAAGCATACACAAACATACACACTGTTCGGTTTCGATCGCTTTGAAAAGCGAAACAAATACTCATTTGCATATAAAATATTTAAGAATGAAACCGAATCAGGTGGGTTTATGAACGACGAACGATGAACCAACTTCGGGTTCAGCGTGTTCGTATTTACCTTATGTCTCTCTGTATATCTCTCTCTTTTGCTCTGGCAGAGACAATAAAATA